TTTTTTTTTTTTTTTTTTTTTTTTTTTTTTTTTTTTTTTTTTTTTTTTTTTTTTTTTAAAGATTTAGGGTTTTGGAATGCTCCCATAAATCGTCCTACAAATATTTCAATACTATAGAAAAGTGACCTAACTCCTACTGCAAATGGACTTTTGTCTGCCACTGCAACCACCCCCATCCCACCCCCAAGGATGTTGACTATGTTATTGGCATCTTAAAACTGCCACGTTATGCTGAACTTTAACGTATTAATAATATATCCTCAGCTCTAAAAGTTTAAAGCTCTTTGATCATGTGGTTCAACACAGTATTAAAATTTTCATTTATGAAGATTATGCATGTGTTAGGCCATTAATTAAAAAATGAATGAGAAAACAATACTATATTTAAATAAATGTGTTCCCTTTAACAATCTAAGGTTTTAGATAAAGCGATTTAAAAAATACTATTTCTTATATCGATAACTTTTCTATATAGAAATTAAAAGTTTTAACCGAGGTGCTTCAGCACAAGTAATTCTATATATCAATAACTCCTTTATATAGAGGCAAGTGAAGCAAAAATAAATAAATAAATATATATATATATCAATTACTCCTCCATATAGAGGCAAGTGAGAGATAATAAGCAACGTGTCTGTGATTTACAGGATCTAGGTTTTCTCTTTATAGAAATATGGGTGATAATATAGGGTCCAGTTCAGAAGGGTTCAAGTACAATTTTTATGCAGCTGATGCTAGTATTCCTGACTCAGTAGAGGATCATGGCTCCATTAAGGAGCAAGATCGGCTGCTACCGATAGCGAATGTCGGCCGGATAATGAAGCAGATCCTTCCTCCGAATGCGAAAATCTCGAAAGAAGCTAAAGAAACCATGCAAGAATGTGTATCAGAGTTCATTAGCTTTGTTACAGGAGAAGCATCTGATAAATGCCACAAGGAGAAGAGAAAAACGGTTAATGGAGATGATATTTGTTGGGCTTTGGGAAGTTTAGGTTTTGATGATTATTCTGACTCGCTCAAGAGGTATTTGCTTAAGTATAGAGAAGCAGAAGGAGAGAGGGCTAATCAGAATAAGTCTTCAAACAGCGAAGCAAGGGATTAATAGCTCAAAACTTGAGGTGAAACCACAGTAGAAGAAACCTGCAGTCCACTCCCCCCACCCCCACCAACACCCAATGTTAGTTTAATGGATATTAGTAGAAATATGCATAAACTAATAGAGTAGGTTATGGTATGCGTGCTTACCCCTTGGTTGAACTTTGATGCAAAAGTTGTACTGAGATTTTTACTGTTCTTTACTTTTTTTTCTTGATGGGTTTTGGGGAAGTAATCTTGAACGGATTTTCAGATCTATGCCTCTGAAAGTTGCCCGTTTTTCTTACATATTTAACTTTTGATTACCTGTAAACTA